AAATTGTTAAGCCGGATCGGGAAATCTGATGCATGCGGGCGGATTCGCAACAGCTGACAACAGAACCGAGTCTGAAACGGGGAAGAGAGATAAAATCAAGAGCCAGTGAAAGATGTAGCCATGTAGAAACATTATGCTCCGCAGAACAACCGTGGAGTAACATGACCCACCGCTCGGTCATCTCGTAAATCCTGGAAGTTAAGCCTGTACACCTGGGTTCAAGGTCACTGCCATAGTGAATCAGCCAGGTAACCACCTGGAAAGACTAAACCCTGAGGATGCTCAACTGGTCACCCTTTTGAAATCGCCAAAGTTCCCATTGACAGGGCAACGTCATCCAACCAGTCCAACGGTCGGTCCTCAGCAGAGAAAGGCGCTTCCATCACAGCGCTCGAGACAGACGTCTTGCCCGCCCAGGTGTCCGTAGTGCGACCGGGCTCCCGCTTCTTGTCCGCCTCCAGCAGCACCAGTAGCTGGTCCAACAGCGCAAGACCAGAACACAGCGCTTGAAGCCAGCGTCCTAGGATGGTGTAACAACCCTGCTCGTTCAACGGCGTCCCGTCCGGGCTGGGTACCTCGACATCTGGCTTTGCTTCCGATCCCGAGGCGGACGTCAGTTGTCGCTGGAGATTCTGCAGGATGCTGCGGCTATCCTGGATACGCGACATCAGCTCGTCACGCGATGCATCCACTGAACCTTCTCTGAGGATCGCGGTGGTCCGCGACAGGAATCCAGGGCCGAGGCTGATCTCGTTGAACGCCCGTTCTATGATCTCATTGAGCCAGCTTCCCTTGCCTGCGCGCTCTTCCAAAATGGTCGCTTCCTTGTTGGCGGCGCGCCACTCCGGCTTTTCAAGGAAGGACGGCTCCTGTCGGAGGAAGGCGTCAGCGATGAGGAAAGAGCGGATGGTAACGAAGAGGGTGCGCGCAAGGCCGCTGTGATGGGCCCAGGCCCCTCGCAGCTGGAAGAGTGCCGCGACGCCCCGCGAGTGCAGCAGCCAGGAGCGCGGTGTGACCGGGTCAATCATTTCGAACACGGTCAGTATGATGGCCGTCGCGAGGGTGATATCCGAGGCTCGTGTGCGTGGGTCCTCCACTAATCCGGCCAGGCATCGCAGCGCACCTCCGTACATGTACCGGGTCTTGTCGATGACCTCTTGATCTTTGTTCTTCACGCCCAAATACCACCCGTTGAGACAGCGGATGGCTTTCTCGATTGGCGCGGACTGTGCGGCTTGGTGGTGACGGATAAAATCCACCCAGTTCGGCTCAACGCGAGGGGCAAAGCTGCAAAAGGTGAGAGGGAACGTCGCCATGACGACGTATTCAAAGACCTGCTTCGTCTGGCTGTCGAGCGCCCTTCCTGCGAGGCCTGGGGCTATGTTCTCATCAATACTCGGCCTACCGACAATGGCGAGGACGGATCCACGGTCCTTTGCCTCCTGGAGTCTGTCGAACTCTCGCGCATCGGTAAAGTCGCCCTGGGGGGTGGTCCGGTTGTAGAATTTCAATCCTCTGTGATACCCGGGGCATCGCAGCCCGCGTGCCAGGCAGCGGGCACATTCTGGGCGAGCGCGGTCACACTAATTGGTCCGAAACGAGGTTTGCCTGTCAGTATTCAGGGGAACGGCGACGGGGAATGGCTCACTTTGACCCGACGTTGCAGACATTCCCGACAGCTGGTGCTGCGCGGAACGCCGACCATTGGTGATCAGTACGTAGATATCTGAGGCGTTGAACGAACGACGGTGATCCAGCACTGAGACCCGCCAAGCAACTGGAGACTTTATATTTGATCAACAGAAAGGAGCGAATGGTCGAATGGGACACGGAGGCTATGGCAAGTCGCCGGGGGGGCGGGGGGGAACTGAAAGTGACGGTGAGGATTAGGTAGTCTGTCCAGCCTTAGTAGGCGTGGCGCCAAGGACCCCCCGCTTCGATGCTCCGAGTCATCGGCAACCGGAATTGAATTGACGATAGATACTCAGGCTTCTGGTGGTTAGGTGTGAGGTGATTGTGATTGATTGCCTGCAGGTGACTGTGAGCTAGTCACCTGACATCGATGGCACAATATTATACCTATCGCAGTGGCCGGTTCTCTCTATCAGGCAAGACTCACCTCGACCCCGACCGTGAACGTTGGAAGACTCAAGGTTAACGGCCCCGCAGCCACATGGCCACATGGCCGCCAGCATTCTTCCAAGGAAGGTTCCCATTTCCGATTGCCTTTCCCGTCTTATTCTGCAGCTGCTAACGCTTGTATTTTCCAAGCGAACGTATCATCCGTATAAGGTAAACTCCCCCGGGCCCAACTCCCCGCCTCCTTAGTCTCGACGAGTCGACAGTCGGTACAACGGCCAGAGGACCAAGCGCAGACGGCCTTGTAACTTGCCCTCGAACTCCGAAGTCAGGGCAACGGCTGCCAACGGGACCCGTCCCAGATCGAAATTCACGGTCTTACGGTCCCGTCTAGCCTAGTCGAGAGTATCGGACTGTCGGACAGAGGTCAGAGGTCAGAGGTATCCCTGGAGGGGAAGGGACTTAGGGGAGTCTCCAGAACTGTCGACGGTCGCTGACTCGCTACGCTGGGGCCCGAGAGCAGCGACCCGAGCATGACACCTGCAGACAGGTGCAGCGGAATGTGACCAGTCATCGAGTCAGAGTCGGAGTTCTGCAAAATTCACCCATAAATTAGCAAAGCAGCCGTTGGGCAATCCACCAATGAGCTGGAAGTGCTGATCCGGATCCAGGATTTTGCTGAAGAATCAATATCCTTGGGGAGCTCCACGATCCATCTTCCGTAATCCTGTGGATTCCGTTGGACGGGTGGAGGGGAGCCGTACCGTTCCGTTGACTACTACTACTATGGATATCTACGTAGTAGTAGGAGGGCTGTAAGAGGAGGAGGGGGATTACAACGCTGTCTGGCAACAATCCAGAGCCAAGGGGAATAATATACTCCATACTACGGACTAACAATCATCAATGAGCAGTCATCGCCGACCGATGGAGACAGGTGAATAATCCTCTGCTGTGGGATCGACGGACGGCAAGGAATCGTGCATCCGCGAAGACCGCCTCCAACCAGTAACGCCCCGACTGGCCCGCCCTCCAGTTTTCGGCAACGGCAGATTCTGTGCTGTCGAACGAACCCCCGGTTTGTATTATTATTATTATGTGACCATATCTGGTGATATTATTATTGAGCTTCTCTTCTTTTCTAGTCTCCTCTTCTTCTTCTTTCAATCGTTACTACACTGTTCTCTTCTATCGATTTAAACCTACCCTCCCTCCTATCTTCCCATTCTGATAGCGTTGCGCTGCATTTGTTTCTTCACTGCTTATCGTTGATCCTTACTCCGCATTCCGCCAAGATGTCTGACGAGGCCACCCAACATCATAATCCTCAGCACATTGAACCCGATGTTGGTCTCTTCATCTCGTCCACATACCTTATCGACCACTGACAATGGCAGGACTTTTCCGACCGGGATTCAAGCTACCAGAGCTCGTAAGTCCTCGACAGGCCGAGCCGAATTTCAGATTACAAGGCTAACTTGACCGTAGGCTGGGCGACGCCAGCTACACCACTAGCATCACTTCGAGTGCCATGAACTATACGTATGTTGGCTCACTCACCCTGCTTGCCTATTGTCCCGGTGCTGACCATTTAGATATGAGGTCCCTCTATCATTCCTAACTCTCCCCGCGACCCCAACTAATCGCCTTCCAGAACGGTCGCAGATACCACTCATACCACGAAGGAGAATACGTCTTGGTATGGATGCCATCGCCCATCGCCCATCGTATGATCCATCAACCCAACTAACAACCACGACAAACAGCCCAACGATGAGCAAGAACAAGACCGCCTGGACCTGGTTAGTGCGACGCAATGGAACCCACGAACCAACGGTATTAACAACACCAGAGCCACCACATCTACCGCATGATCCTGAAAGGCGAACTGCACCGCGCTCCGATCAAGAACCCCGCCCGCGTGCTCGACATCGGCACCGGCACCGGGATCTGGGCGATCGACTTTGCAGACGAGCACCCCGAATCCGAAGTCATCGGCAACGACCTCAGTCCCATCCAGCCCTCTTGGTACAACTTCCCTTACTCAAATACTCCAACCCGACTAATAGATCTGGCGTAGGGTCCCGCCAAACTGCCGCTTTGAAGTCGACGACTTTGAACAAACCTGGTCCTACAGCCAACCCTTCGACTACATCCACGGCCGCGAACTCGAGGGCTTCATCCGCGACCACGACCGGGTCTTTTCGGAGGCCTTCCGCTGCCTCAAACCAGGCGGGTACTTCGAGATTGCCTCGATCGAGGTCAACTCATTCTCGGACGACGGCACCCACCTGAAGGCGAAGTGCCTGCTAGAGGGCATCAAGCATGTCCACGAGGCGTCCCGCAAGTTCGGCAAGGACATGCTCACGGCCGAGACGTGGAAAGCGCGGTTCGAAAAGATCGGTTTTGTCAACGTCACCGAGGAGGTCTACAAGGTCTGTTCCCTTGCCTTCTCTTTCTGTTCGATGACATAGTAACAGCAGAACAGCTCCCCCAAAGTCCCTGGCCCAAGGATCCCAAGCTCAAAGAACTGGGCCGCTACCACCAGGTCAACGTGTTCGAGGCGATCCCGCCGTACGTGTATGCGCTCTTCACGCGGTACCTGGGCTGGCAGCGTCCGGAGATCGAGGCGCTGGTGGCGGGGATGCGGCAGGAGTTGAAGGATCCGTCGATCCATATCTATACAAAGACACGTGTTGTTTATGGGCAGAAGCCGGAGTAAATGATTTACTTTATATAATTCATGGACAGTTGCAGAAACAATATTAATGCATTGAGGTACGATTACTGTATAAATACTGTTCTAGTTGAAGGTTTCAAGAGGCTGAGGTTGCATTGACCATGGATTGAGGAAATCTAAGCCCGAAGTACATTATCTGATTATCTGATCTAGCACTAGAAGTACAAATTTCTTCATCCAAGGCAAGGTGGCCGAGCGGTCTAAGGCGCGCGGTTAAGGCTTTCCAATAATTCGGATCCTTTATCTTGATATCTCAAGTTTCCGCGTCATTAATTTGGCGTGGGTTCGAATCCCACCCTTGTCATTCTTTTTCCTTTTTTTTGTATCTTTTCAAGGTCCCGCCGTACCCTTCCCAATTTCCTGTCCTTGTTATATGCGTGCTGCAATTTATATTAGCCAACAGTGTATCTATCCAATGTAGTTTTCATCTCATATGCAGAGTAGATAATGTGAATAATAAACAAATCGTCTCAAGTTTAAGTTTCTTGTATTAATATCTTGTTTGTATGGATGAGATATATATATATATATATATATATATATATGCAGAGAGGAAGCTAATCCTGCCAACGTCCTTAAAGTCTATCTAACAGGAGTCCTGAGATGCTTTCTCCTGCTTTTCTATTTCCTTTTTCTTTTTCAGCAGCAAACATGTACAGATACAGCAACAATAGTGATTCTCTATCAATTGGCATAAACCATAAAACATGAGCAGATAGAGAGAGTCGCAATGAATTCATCCCACTCACTAACTACTCAAGTAAAAACTACCCACATCACCGCTCACAAGAACAGCCATAACAACAGGACATTGAAATAACCTAAATGGCTTTATCACCCCTTCACTGGAATCTCACTCTGAGCAATCTTCAATGCCACGACCTCCCCCGAAACCAGCCTCATCAACAACGCCCTTCCCCTCCACCTGCTGCATATCCGGCCCCGCCGTGTTCTCACTAAGCGTGTACTCCTCCTTGTCAATATGGCGAAACGTCAAGTAAAAGATCACCGTCAGAACTCCACCCGCGATCGACGGACCGCCCAGATCCCAGGTTAGATAGGGGTCCCGGATGACGGCCGAGCAGGCGAGGCCGACGATATACGCCGCGGCGGTGTTGAGGAGGTTGATTGCGGAGACGAGACCGCGCATGTTGGGCGGGGCGCGCGCGTAGGCGATCCCGTAGGCGGGGACGTTGACGAAGAGTTCGGAGATGCCGCCGATGGCGTAGGGGATTGCGATCCACTGGGGTTATTTTTGCATTAGAGATGCCATATGGAAGGGGAAAGAGAGGGAGAGGGAAAGGGGAGGTACCCAGATAGTGATCGGCGCGACGAGAGAGACCCCGTTCTCATCAACGCAGGTATCAGAAGAGCCGTACTTGCCGCAGGGCCCGAGCTTGTAGGCGTAGTGGTTCAGAACGGTGTATCCGACACCCGCGAGCGAAGACAGCGCCAGTCCCGTCGTCATGCGGGCCACAGGTCCGTAGTGGATATGCCACCGGCGGAGCAGCGGATACAGACCGTAGTTGAGGATCGGGGCGAAAACGATGATACTGAGCGGGTTGAAGTTACTGATGAGGTCGTTGGGGACACCGTCGGTCTTGAGCATGGTGGAGAGGAAGCTCGCGGCGTTGCCGAGGCCGTTGTCGTTGATGTACTGGATCGGGAAGAAGCAGAAGATGCCGGTGGCCTGGAAGGTGCGGCGGACGTCTTCGACGAATTGGTCGTTCCAGTGGGTTCTGATGCTCTGACCTCTGGCTGCGATGACGGAGGGCTTTGCGGGCTCCCAGAAGCCGTGCCGGCCGATGCGGAAGATGCCGCCGTTGCTGAGGCAGATGCGCAGGACGCGGACGACGTTGGGGAGGTCGCTGCCGCCTGGGGGGTGGAGGGTGAGGCGGTTGCGGAGCCAGAGCTGGTGGAGTTAGTGTCAAGCATTGTCAGACAGACCATATGAGGCGCATACCAAGAGAGCAGGAAGCGGAAAGTACAGGAACAGCGGCAGGATAAAGGCCAGCCACCATCCGACATACTTCTCAGCGTAGGAGGTGGCGACCTGCATGAAGCCGCCGATGTTGATGAGGAGGTAGAACCAGAGCATGGCACGCTCCGTCGTGGCTTCGGGGTCGACAATGACCTTTTCGCCGCTGGGCAGCACCTTGGTTTTGGCCTTGGTCTCGCGCATCTGGTCGAGCAGCAGGGGAGAGACGTTGGGCTTGAACATAGCTGCGGTCATCAGTATCAGATCAACAGGACGAAAGCGAAGACGTACCAGCACCAACCGACAGCATATACAAGGAGATAAAGTACGGCGCCTTTGCATTGCCATTCGCAAGCAGTGATGGCGCCGTCGCACCGACCATCAGGACGTGCGCAACGCCGAAAACAAGCACACCCCAGCAGATCATCTTGAAGCGACCGGTATGCGCATCGGAAAGGTAGCCGAAGACCATGGGCAGGGCGTACGCCAACATGCTGAAGGACTGGTTGACGGCGTTGGCCTTGACGGTCCCCATGCCCAGGGCGCCGGGGGTTTGCTGGGTTCCGCGAGGGGGTGCCCCGTATCCATTGCCTCCGACTGGCATCGGGCGGTTGACGAAGTTCGAGATGAGCCCAGACACGCCGTAGTAGGAGGCTCGCTCGGAGAACTCGACGATGCAGATGAGATAGGCGACGACGGGCAGGCTGCCGGGGACGCGACGCAGGGTTTCCAGTTCTTCGTCGGTGGGTGTTTCATCGTCGGCGACTGGACGGACGGTGTCTACCGCGGGAACGACGGCCGTCTTCTCCTCATCCTCGTGGGAAGCTGTCAAGTTAGTGTCAGGTAGAAAGACGAGCCCGTGGAGTGGGAAATCATACTCATTGTGGTCTGTTCGAAGAAAGAGCAGTAAAACCAGGTCGGGAGCAGACTTTCCACATTATCTAGGGTCAGACCTGACTCAATAAATAGTAATAGTAATGGTAAACAATCCCCCCTGGCAGCTGCCTTTCTTGCTGCTCTCATGGCGTGCTATCTCGCCAGACCCGAGACCCGATCAATGCAACGCTGCCCTTTAGTTGATAAGTCAACCTAACCAATGACTGCGAGAGAACTGTCCAAGAAGCTGATAACCGAGATTGGCATTATCAGCATGGCCTATCACGCAATCCCGAGGGCCAGCCAAGGCGCCACGGTTGTAGTCAAGCACCCTAAGCACGCTAGGCGCAAGCTTAGCACCAGCTGAGAGATCCCTAAGAGTAAGGTGCTCATGGCTCCGAGATATCGAAATCAAGCGTCGGTGATTCCTCTCGATTCGGGAATATCGCCGGGGCTAATGTCTACCCCGAGTTGTTTCCTTGGAGGATCTGTCACCGGCGATAAACAAAGCCGTATCAAGGACTGCTCAAGGGTAAACTCCTTGCTTCCAGGCATTCCGGCTATAAAGACCCACTGTCGCGCATTCCAAGGTGACCCTGCTCAATAATGTCTTCCAACTGTCAAATCCCAGAAGGCAGATTGCAGCCCTATCATGGCCAGTTCTGGTTATCCTACCGAGTCATGCATGTCGTATAATTATAACAAAGCCACCGCTGAATATAAAGGTTCAGCATGGTTTGATTCTTATCACTAGACGGATTGACCCGTTATTGCGCTTTATTTTATTTTATTCCATTTTGTAGTGATCTTAACTAGTCTTGCCATGATCTCATGCTTACTGGTGGATTAATCACTGCTCACTATCAGCAGCATATATATGTGTCAATTCTGTGGCAATAAATAGCATGGCATCCGGTCTATCTGATTATCTATCTTCGCTGATGGTGTCATCCGGCCCCCAGGCTACTGTATCTTCTCCACTTGCCAGCCGTCGATGCTCGGTTAACAGCGGTTGACTCCCTTGTTCCGATCCTACGGTACACAGTGAGATGGGGTTGAAGCTGCATTTGTTTTGTCGAGTGCGAGATAGAATATCAATCAAAGTGCCTGTGTCGTCGCCTCCCCGCCACCAGTGGAGCAAGCTATAAAGGCCATATATAGTCCACCAGCCACTGCTGCAAAGAAAGTAACCGATGGAACTTTATGTACCTTATCCCAGTTAGTTCAAACCAATTGCAAGCGTTCCGCCATCTTCTGCGGTCGATATGTCTTCGACCTTCTTTCCAAGTCCCAAGGGTTTCTGGACTGTATTGTCGAAATTCAAGCCATCCATGTCACCCCCAGAAGCAGAAGGCCCATGGCGGTACCTGAGTACGAAGCCCTAACAAAGAATGGGCGGTACCAATTTAGAGATGGTGGAAGTATCTATGCCGTGGTAGGCTCGATATGAACGTGTGCCTTCTTACGAAGTCAAAGCTACACGAAGGTTCTTTTGTTGTATGAGACCACCCCCTGTACATAGTACAAGGACCCGAGAGAACGCAATCCACAATCTTGTAGGGTAATCTGACCTGACCACAAAGCTAGCTACAGGATCTCCAGACTCTGGCACAGTCCGCCGCTCAACCATGGATCAGACTATCCTGCTGAGGATGAACATTCCACGCCGATTCAAGGGGGATCCGGCACGTGAAAGAGCCTCACGGTGCTTTATATTTTCTTTTTCAGTGCGACCTTCTGGCCCATCCCACTTCATCTTAACCTCACGACGTGGCAGAAAAGAAAAATGGACAGCAAAGAGCAGAAGCCAACTCTGGAATCCGTCGAAAACGCGGACCAGGTCTCTGGAAAAATGCCAGTATCCGATCAACGGCTCATACGGCGCATCGACTGGCACATCCTGCCAGTCATGTTCCTGGCTTACTTTTTCCAGTTCCTGGACAAAGTCTCTCTGAATGTGAGTGTGGTCCGACAAGTGAGTGATATATTGATGTCGGTTGTAGTATGCCAACGTCATGGGAATCCAAACCGACCTTGGGATGTCCGGCAACGATTTCTCCTGGCTTGCAACGGCCTTTTTCATCGCTTACGCCATTGCTGAGATTCCGCAGGGTAATCTTGTATACACCTCTTAGTAGACAGACAGCTAGCTAACCGGAATGGCCAGGGATCCTCCTACAAAAATATCCCATCACCAGAGTCCTCGGCTGCAATGTCTTTGTCTGGGGCATTGTCCTCTGCTGCTCCGCGGCAGCACACAACTACGCAGGAATGCTCGCCCTGCGGATCCTCCTGGGAATGGCGGAGGCCGTCATCGGTAGGATTCCCTGACCCCCCTCCACGCCTCAACAACAAGGTAGAGTCTAATCGCCCGACAGCCCCCGCTCTGACCACCTACACGAGCATGTGGTATACCCGTCAGGAAGCCACCCCGCGCTTCGGGTTCTGGT